AAAAAATATATATATATATATATATAAAACATATATACTAAAGCCCATAGGTAAGCTGGAACAAAGGCAGTCCAGCAGGGGTTGGGCCCCAGGGAGAGAAGGTAGCCTCAAGGGGATTAGGAAGATTGGAGATTGGTTACATGGGTGGAGGACTTGAACAAGATATATTGAGGTAAATGGGAGTCAGAGTTTTTACTGTCCAGGAAAGGAGTTAAAAATATGTAAAGAGGGACCCTGTTTTTATTTATTGATTTATTTAAAGTTTATCCATTTATTTTGAGAGAGAGAGGGAGAAAGAGAGATTCCCAAGCTGGCTCTGTACTGCCAGTGCAGAACCCGACATGGGGCTTGAACTCATGACCTGCAAGATTATGACCTGAGCCAAAATCAAGAGTCAGACGCTTAAACAACTGAGCCACCCAGGCACCCCCCACTTTTTAAATAAAGTGTATTTTGAGAGAGAGAGGCAGAAAGAGAGAGAGAGTACCATCCTGTTTTTAAATACCAGTTTCCATCAAAGAAATCTTTGGAAAATGGCTTATCTCCAGGCTGAAGTGGAAGACACACAAGATAGGTCTGAAAGTATGGAAGTGTTCAGAGAAGAATGGTGGCTTGCCAGTGGACAGAGAAGCTAGCTTTCAGAGGCACCCAGTGGCTAAGGATGACAATTTGAACAAATACATGATGACAATAATGGATTTGCTCTCACTGAATAGGAATCTGCAAATCCATTTTGTTATAAATAATAAGTCATTATAGCAAAATGCCCATTAATAAAATACAGAAGGAATGCAGGAACTAGAAAATCACCATCTGGCAACTAACAGAGTAATAATTCAGAATTCAAGAAAGCAAAGAGCAGAGAGTTAATGGTGAATGAAGAACAAACTATGTAGGCTCAAAATATTACCTCTGCAAAATACTTAACATAAAGCTACATATTAATTATAAAGGGAAAGGATAACTTTATATTGGTGAAGCCTACTCAGATGATCAGTTAATTAATATCACCAGCATCCGGACAGACTGACTTCGTAAGCGCCTCCTGGTAAGACACACTAAGAAGAGCATAGCATCACCTCTGTGATATTCCTGTCACAAAGGCATACATGAATCCAGTCATGAAGAAGCATGAAATTCCCAATGGAAGGACCTCTATAAAACAGTCACCTTGTTCTGGATTTGAATGAGTCTTGACAACTACTAGGAACATGTGATGGTGGTTTGAATACTTCAACCATAAAAGACATAATGGGGCAGCTGGCAAAATAAATAAAATTACCAACCTTTGTTCAAAAACTTTTATTTACTATAAAGACAAAACACCAAAATAGGTACAAATACTATAAAATTGGTTCAATGGGGTAAAAATTTTAATTAAAATATCTCGATATATTTAAAATAACAAAGGATACATTTAAGCCAAATTTTCTTAACCCAGAGATTTTTTTTTTTTTTTTTTTTTTTTTTTTTTTTTTTTTTTTTTTTTTTTTTGTAACATTTGCTTACATAGTAAGGTGCTAATAGAAGTTAGCCCTTAAGCCCTGGAAGTCTTAGGAATCATAGTCACACAGCAAATATAATTTCATTGTGAAAGTGAACTTTGGTAGAAGAAAAATCTATAGGACACCTGAGGTAGTAGAACCTGGAATAAACAGCAGTAGACATTATTTACAACTTGAGTACCAAATAACATTAAGAACACAAAAATAATTACACAATACAATTTTCAGTCCAGCTTTGATCCAAAGAAAATAAGAATATTATATCACATTTGCATTGAAAACAAAACAAAAAACAAAACACCACAATTACCAGCAAGCTGAGGGAACTGCAAACAAACTCAAACAATGGATTTGGACATCTAGAGGCAGTTTGAGTTTGAAATGTGGTGGGCATGTGATCTACAAAGTAATACTGATTAGCTGAGGTTCCTCAGTTTATACAGTTTACATTTCTGTCAGACACAGTATTGATCTGACCAGTGATCTTCCAGTACATCAAATGGCAAGAGTGCATCCGTTAAAGCTTGCACATGAGAAACTTGGAAACAATCTTATTAGAGTTGTGAAAATTCTAAGTAGTCACACACAAAAGATAGAAAATAAAAAAGAAAGTACAACACATGTAGAGCTACCAAACTTCACATTTCGGTACTATTTTTAACTCTTCAAATATTGCCAATCTTCCAAAACAAAGGAATGTAAAATTTCACTAAGAGACACATTCACATAGAAAAAAAACCAAAAAAAACAAAAACCCAAAAAACCAAAACTGTCTTCTAAAAATTATATGCAATATATCCCTGTAAACTTAACTTGTAACTTATTTTACTTCCAATTTGTGTTGTACATTTAAAATGTACTCTATATAGCTTATTTAGTTTATCCTGAGTCTTTGAGAATAACCAATTCTGTTTCATTCTGCAACAATTCAACTGGCGTCTGAAGAGTTAAAATTTAACATCTCAAAAAGCTGTATTAAATATTTAATCAGTACTTGATTTTAAAAGACTCACAAAAAAAGGATAAAAGAGCTGCCATTTTCCTTCTAGATTCCATGTATCTGAATTCCACTCAGATGAAAACCATTAGATAATTGTGCAAAATTCAAGGATTAGTAAGTGGAATCCATTTGACTTTTCTTTCTGAACACATTTTCAAAGTCCCAAGCAGATTTATTTTGTACAAACGCTATTATTAATAGTTGGGTCATTAGTTAATTTTTCTTTAATGGTCAGCCAGGCCTAGTGGAAAGAGATGATGCATGGTAGAAGGAAAATAGCAGTTTCATGTTATTATTAGTAGTGATGACGAATGATGGATTGTTACATACAAAGTAAGACTTCAATGGTGTGAAGTTTCCTACAAAAGAAACCAATACATTAAAAGAACTCAAATAAATTTCAAGGTAATCTTGATCTTGGTTGTGAGCTGCATCACAGAGAATAGTTGATTTTCACTGAATTTATATTTAACCTGCATGAAAAGAGCAGTGACTGACTCAATGAAGGTAGTATTTTATTATATTCCAATTTAAAAAAACAAAATTAATCTGTATTAAAAA